AATATTCTAAAAAATAAATGGGAAAAACCTTTGCAGCAAGATGTCTTGTTGAGGGTTGCATTTCCAAGATATAAAAGAATTAATTCAAAATTATAAGAATAAAAGCTATTACCCAATTGATAAATGGTCAATAGAATAGGCAGTTCTCAGGGGAAAAAATACAAGCTGCCTAGAACTAGGTGAAAAAATGGTCAAAATCACTAATAATTAGAGAAATTCAAAATAAAACAATTCCAAGATTCCACCTCATACTTATTAGATTGGTAAAATTGGAAAAAAATGACAAATGTTAGATGGTTCTGCAGGAAAATAGGCATATATATCTATATACTATTGTTGCTATGAATTGTTACAACCATTCTAGAAAGCATTTTGGATCTATGCCCCCCAAAGTTAATAAACTGTGTATAACTTTTGGCCCAGGAACTTCACTACTAAGCAGAAAGAGGAAAAGGCTCTATATTTTTAAAAATATTTATAACTGCACTTTGTGAAATGGCATGGAACTAGAAACTAAGGGAGAACCCATCAGTTAGAGAATAGTAGAGCAAATTATGATACCTGAATGTAATATCATATATTGTGCTAAAAGAAATGATGAAGTGGATAGTTTCAGAGAAACCTAGGAAGGCAATGAACTGATGCAGAATGAAAGTGAGCAGATTTAGAAAAATGATTCATACTGTAACGACATTGTAAAAAAAAAACCAAAACCCAAAACTAAGTGTATTTCTAAGTGAAATACATATGAACTCTAATCAACACAATGATCAACCATGATTCCGGGGTACTTATGATGAAGAAGGCTACCCACATCATGATGGAGAGGTAATGGAGGTAATTAGCAGAATGAAATGCACTTTTTTTTTTACATGGGCAATGTAGGAATTTATTTCCCTTGACCATAAACATTTGTTTATAATAGCTTTGTTTTTCTTTATGTTCAGGGATGGGATAGGCAGATGAAAAGGACAGAAAATAAATGTTTGCTAATTGAAACAAATGCAGATATGGTCATTCCTCAACGTTCCTGGGTTTAACTTTCACACTTTCAAATATTCTCATGAAAACCTCATTTTCACTTTTGTGTTGGTAAGTGCACATGTTCCCAGCAATAAACAGTAGAGAAAAAAGTGAAAAGTGTGCTGGGTGCAAGTTTGTGGAGCAGCTGGTATCCTACTAGGTGCTTCACTGATCTTGTTCACGTTATTGTTGTAAAGAGCTCCCCACACATTCATTGCATATTTTCAATGGTTGCCTTTAAAACTCAAGTTTTGTGTTACAATTATGCCCAAAGCATAGTGCAATGCCTTGGGGCTCTAAAGTGATGTTGAGACTTTACCAGTCTTGGGGTCTTCCAGCAGCAGTGACTAAAGTCACAGCAACCTCTCCCTTAGTTTTCAGAGGGTAGCCAAGGTAGAGAGGTTTACAATAGTACAACATTCAATACAATGCCTTCATACCACCATTTGCCACAGTGGAAAGTTAAAAAAGTTTTAGTTTTAAGAATTTATTTGCTGTACGGTATTTATGGTACTGTAGATTGCATGTGTTATGAAAAGTGAATATTGTCTGAAATCAATAATCTATTGATTTTTTATTGAGATGTTAGCGCAAAAGGTCACATAATTCTAAAAAACGTTACCAACTTTATTTTGTGTATTTCATAGTATGGGTTATTCATGATTGCTTTGTTAGAAAAGAGCATACCATCAGAATTAATGTTTTGTTATAAAGAACTGTATGTAGAAAAGTATGTTTCCAGCAGTCTTTAGCAAAATATTACAGTTTTGGGTGTTCACAGGAACCTAACCTCCTATTTCTCATAGGTTCAATGTATCAGCATTTGTGTTCATTTACTTTCATGCCGTTTTCTAGAAATGTTACACTCCCATTCCCCCAAAGTTGATGATTGACTGTAGTAGTTTTTTGGTTCTCATGTTGCCTCATTGGCATATGTTGAACTTGTAGTCTATAATCTTTTGCCACTGCTGTCTAATATAACCAATGCATCTTATACTCATGAAACTTATGTTGGCTTTTTTTTTAAATCCAGGAAGGACTTCAAGTTTATCTCTGCTAACTTTCATCATAAAAGATGTGGCCCCTAGTTCTAAACCTCTGTAGATCTTTTTAGACTCTGCCATTCTTTGTTTCAGTTATTCTTTCCAGATTTTTATTATCTATAAGTTTGATAAGCATGCCAGTTCTACCTTTGTTCCTATATTAAGTTTGAGTTACCTGCTGAAAATCTAAATGGAGATGTCCAGGAGGCAGCTGGATTAAAGGGAAAATATTTTATGCTGTAATTGGTTGGAAGAGCTGGATATGTTTAGCATAGAAAAGAGAACACTTAGGAAGGACATGATAACTTTTTTCAAGTATTTAAGGTGGCATTATATTTGCTTCATTGTGTCTACAGGAACAGAACTAGGAAGAATGGGCAGAAAGGTATAGAGTAGCAGATTTTAGCTCAGTGTTAATGAAAACTTTAAAATTAGATTTCTGTATCCCAAAGAAATAAAAAAGGGATGGGGAGGAGAACTTATTTGTACAAAAAATATGTATAGTAGCTCTTTTTGTGGTGAAGAATTGGAAATTGAAGGAATGCCCATCAATTAGGGAATGGATGAACAAGTTGTGGTATATGAATGTAATGGAATATTATTTTGCTATATGAAATGACAAGCAGGATGCTTTCAGAAAAAACCTGGAAAAACTTAACATGAACTGATACAGAGTGAAGTGAATAGAACCAGGAGAATGTTGTACACAGTAACAGCAATATTGTAAAATGAACAACTGTGGATGATTCAAGACAATGCCAAAGGATTCATGATGAAAAATGTTATTGGCTTCCAGAGAAGGCATCTGAATACATACTGAAACACACTGTTTTTCTTCCTTCTTTCCTTCCTTCCTCACTTCTTTCTCTTTCCTTCCTTCCTTCCTTCCTTTTCTTTTTCTCTCTCTCTTTCTTTCTTTCTCTCTCTCTTTCTCTCTTTCTCTCTTTCTTTCTCTCTTTCTTTCTTTCTCTCTTTCTCTCTCTCTCTCTCTTTCTTTCTTTCTTTCTTTCTCTCTTCCTTTCTCTCTCCCTTTCTCTCTTTCTTTCTTTCTTTCTTTCCTCTCTTCCTTCCTTCCTCTCTTCCTTCCTTCCTCTCTTCCTTCCTTCCTTCCTTCCTTCCTTCCTTCCTTCCTTCCTTCCTTCCTTCCTTCCTTCCTTTCTTCTTTCTTTCTTTCTTTCTTTCTTTCTTTCTCTTTCTTTCTTTCTTTCTTTCTTTCTTTCTTTCTTTCTTTCTTTCTTTCTTTCTTTCTTTCTTTCTTTCTTTCTTTCTTTCTTCTTTCTTTTTTTTTTCTTCTTTCTTCCAAAAAATGACATGATTGCACATATATAACCTGTATCAGATTGCTTATGGTTTCAGGGAGAGGGGGAGGACAGGAAGAAAGGGATAGAATTTGGCACTCAAAACTTAAAAAAAGACGAATTTTAAAAAAAAATTTATGTGTAATTGGGGGAGAAATAAAATGTTATTTAAAAAATAAAATAAAATGAAATTAGATTTCTGTCTTCTTTTAAGTCCATGAGTTCACCAACACTGATGTTTTCTAGTGGAGGCTTCATGATTATTTGTTGGGCAATGTCTTTGAGGTGGTTCCTGCTTTACTGTGGTATGGACTAGATGACCTCTGAAATTCCTTCCAATTCAAATTTTATGATTCTATAAATATCCAAGTTAGTCCAATGGAAAAAGAGAAAGAAAAGAACATAAAAGGACTTTGTCAATGGATTCTCAGCGTAACAGAGAAATTTCTCCCTAACCCAATCAATTTTGGATTTCAAGAGAGGGAAAATACCTAGCAAGGTATTTTTGTACCTACCAAAATACCTACCAACAGAACAGGGGCTTGCTTTCCTTTAACTTCGTGTGTTCCCTCTTTTTTTTAATTAAGCATTCCTGGTATATCAACAGTAATTTCTAGGTGCAACAGCTTCAGCTAAGCACAACTTAGTTTTGATAGGCTTCTTATCTTACTAAAGATTTGTCTGATCAGTCATGCTACCCTTACACTCCTTCATAGATCCCTGTGTTCCTGACCTCTCTCTATTGATATGAACCTGAACTGCTTATTCCTGACACAGTTACTTGGAGTTACCAGAGCTCCTTTCGAGATATCACCAGCCATTGTGTCCTTTCTGAGCACTGTTGCCTCTCTATTGGGCCTTGTCCATAAAAATGCAAAAACTCATCACTTCTTTCTTGTCTCATCACATCACTCCTATGATCAAAAAGCTCCAATGAGTGCCTATTATTCCTTTAGGATGAAACACAAACTCCTTTAGAATTTGAAGCCCGTCACAAGCTGACTCCAACCTTCCTTTCTAATCTTATTACTCATTATTCTCCTTCACTTATATTCCAACTAAATTAGCCTTCTTGTCGTTCCTCATGCAAGACATTCCACCTCCCATCTCCCATGTTTAGAATGTACTCCCTTATCACTTCTGTCTCTGAGAAGTGCTAGTAATCTTCAAAGTTCAGCTTAAGAGCCACCTCTTGCTAGAGGCCTTTTCTGATTCTACCAGTTGCTAATGTTCCCTCGTATGCAGTTACTACTACAACAATAATAGCAGCAGCAACAACAACAATAATAGCTATCATTTATATAGCACTTTAAAGTTTGCAAAACACTTTATACAAGTATTAGTTTATTTTGTTCTCACCCTGGGAAAGGTGCTATAATTTTCTCCCTTTTACAGATAAAGAAACTGAAGCAAACAAGGTTAAGTGACTTGACCAGGGTCATCCAGGAGATAAGTGTCTGAAGTTGAATTTTAACTCAAGACCTCCTGATTCCACATCCAGTACTCTATTCACTGCATAAATTAGCCACCAAAATTACTTTGCATTTATTTCATAGATATTTTGTATTTGCGCTACTTCCCCCAATATAATATAAGCTCCTGAGATCTAAAACAGTTTCATTTTGTCTTTCTTCAGCATGCAGCACAATATTTGACACCTAAAAGATATTTATTAAATGTTTCTTGATTTACTGATTGAAGAGCTACAGATGAATGACAAGCTGAAGTATGTAAAGGAGATGGTGGTGAGGAAAGCAGAAACTGTAGCATATTCGAATGAATTGGGAATGTTTAGCTTAAAGAACAGAAGATTTAATGGGAACATGATACCATTCTTCAAGAGATTTAAATTCTGTCATATGGGAAAGGGATTTGATCTGTCCTCAGAAGAGAAAAATAGAAAGACTGAATATAAATTGCAGAGAGAAAAATTTTGGCTTAGTATAAGGATGAACTTCCTTACAAGAAGAGTTTCTCTTTCATGGACTGGGCTTCCTTAAGAAGTAATGAGTTCCTTGTCATTGGAGGTCTTTAGGCCAAGGCTAAATGACCACAATTTCCCTTCACACCCAATGGAGACATACCAGGACTTTGAACTTGAACCCAAGAGCTTTGGGAATAGCAATGCCCTTCTCCCAAACGGTTAGATCTGTTTCTAATCTAGCTCCCACACCCAGCATTGAAAGGAGAAATCCTCCTGGACAGCTGTGGACCAACTCCCACCAATAGCTCAGATAAGAACAAGGACCCAGAAAGTGGCAGCACCTCACATACCAGTAGTCCTGCCTCCAGCCCAACCCTCACAACCATCATCTCAGGGAGCAACTTCTGTGGAGAAGGCATCATCCATCCCCACCAATTGCCAACTAGCCACCAGGGGGCAGAATATGCCAGAGAAGTCAAACCACCACCACTTTAACCATTTTCCTTCAGACCTTGATGGAGACAGCTCAGGACCTTGAACCCAAGAGCTCTGGAATAGCAAAACTTCCAGGCTACTGCCCACAAGCATCATTCTTGGAAGTCACTCCTGTGGAGATTCAGTGTGGCAGTTGCTCCTGCAGATGTTATAGCCACAGCTACTAAACACCCAGAAAAGAAAGTTCTTAACACCAGAGTCTTTGACACTGTCAAATGGTTCATCATCAGAAATGGATGAGGTTTTATCACTTGACATGGCACTAAAGAAGAGGGATTACCATCTGCATTGTTGCTATACCCTAAGGACAATGGGACCTTTCTTTCTGACTCACGGATGAAACCTTCCATATGTGTTGTCTCTTTGTTAAAATGTGAGCTCCTTGGGAGCAGAGACTGTCTTACTTTTCTGTTTGTAGCCCCAGTGATTATCACAGTGATTTATACAAAGTAAGCCTTTAATAAATGCTTTATTCATTCATCCATTTGACAGAGATGTCATAGAATGGATTGCTACTCAGGTATGGGTTGGAATAGATGATTTTAAGGTACTTTTAACCTTTTGTAGTCTATAAATCTATGATTATTCCCATTTTAGAGAAGGGTACAATGATCACACCATTGGAAATTTAGCTCATATTGTTTGAAGTGTGAGTGAAGGAGCCAAAAATAGAATCCAAATTTTATTGATATTATCCTTCATGCTCTATGATTGAGTGCTCTACTCATATCACTGATTTTAGGTTAATGATCATATTTTTCAAAAAATGGAGCTAATGTCATTATGTCAACTCAAATTCCAAATCCCCTACATTCCAGTTTACCTATTAGGGCCCGGGTGAGTCAACAGAGCTTTCACTCAAGGCAAGCCTGAACAAAGTGGCATCTATGTTTGTTTGGAATCCTTAAGGATGCTCACAAAGAAGAAGACTGGGAGTGGGGGAACAGTGAGAAACAACATTTTCCACTTTCTTAAAGGTAGTATGACCATGGTGGATACTGAAACACTAAGTTAAGCACAGGCAACTAATGCAGTGATAAAAATTAGATTCCTATATTTAGGGAGAAAACATTCTTGACAATTAATCACACTAAAGGAGCTCTGGATTTTACAATCTAGATTTATAATTGTTGAGATGTTGCATTTATAATTATGAGACAATTGTTTTATTACTTCAGTGTGGCCTCATTTATGTGGGCATTCTTTTCATTGGCAGAAATCACAATGTATTTAACTGTTAAAGATGTGCTCTGCTCTACAACATTGTTTGCAAAAGTCTGTCTCTTCTTTTCTAATAATTTCATTAATGATATTCTTGACATATACACAAATCATTCTCAAATAGATTTTGTAAAGATAAAAAAATTGGACTCATGTGTTGGTACTTATTGAAGATTATAACCTAATTTAATGAATGATCAAGAGAGTAAAAAAGGAGCAGTAATTTGCTTTCTGACAGCACATCTTTGAACTTTCAAACAACTTTGAAGTTCTATGCAACTTATAATGAAACAAAATTAGTTGTCTTGACAATCATAACACATGCCTGCTTATAGATGTCACACCAAAATAGTAAAAGGTCAGTGACAGCTCTTATTAGAGGATGGCCTTATTTGGGGAGGAGAAAGCTGGGATATAAAATGTGAATATCAGAGTATTGATACTTATGAATCTGTCAGTACTTCTAGTTCTGGCAAAAGTGTCAAATCCAGGACTTATGAAATTCAAGAGGGCTTTCATAGCAATTTGCCCCTCCACTTCATCCCTTATTCTTCCTGTCATTGCTTTTGAGGCTATTCTCTGAATACCTGTTCTCTCTGACTCCTGCCTATGAGTCAGATGTCCCTGGGAGCAGCTATGTATAATATAAGTTAGGAGGCCATTGGTAACACTAAGTTGCTTTTCTATGCCCTTTCCTTCTCACCAGAATCATCAAAGGTAGGGATAAGCAAGAACAACAAATACTCAATAGATGAAACTAGAAGTGAGATTAACCACAAGGGAGAAAATAGTTTATTTCAATTTTTCCTTTCAACTAGAAATCAGTGAAAGAAATATTCCCTGTAAGGCAAAAAAAAAATCAAGATGACAAAGTGGTTAATAAAGCAGGGGAAGGAGGGAAATGTCCAGTGCTTTTATTATTGAAAACCAGATTTAAACTTTAATTTTAAGTAAATATCTATGCAAAGAAAAACTCAGTAAATTATGCAGTTAAGATATTCACTTGCAATTTTGTACATGAAACTGCGTTTGATAAAATTATTATGAAACCATATCCTTGAAAACTGATTAGTACAGAGCAGGACAAAGTTAGCACTATTATTTCTTCTTTGAAAGTTTTCTGTGCCATTCTGAAAAGAACAGAAATCTCAAGAGTTCTGGTTCTGACACTTCTGAGGAGTCCTAGTTCTGACACTTATTATAACCTTGGACTAGCCTCTTTAACTCTCTCAATGTCAGTTTCCTGGCTTCTAAAATGAACTTCATAATACTCATGGTACCTACTCCATCAGGCTATCAGGCACAAAACACTTTGTAAGGTACAAGATGAGTATGAGTAACTTATACTCACACAGATCTCTGATCTCACTCATATGTGTATTCTCTTCAGTGATAAGGGAGTCCGTCCATCCTGCATGACTCTTGTCCATGGCCTCCCTTTAACTTACCATAAGGGGTCCACTTAACATGCAAGGGGCCATCCTCACTTTCTTATGTCTTTCAAGATACCTTGTATAATTTTGACAAACATGGAAGAGATCTTGTTGAAGAGTCTTTAGGTGGTGTTTTGTTCTACCCAATTAAATGTTTCTTTTTTTTTCTTATCAACAAACAGTAGATCCTAGATCCTATATTATATATATTTCAGTCAAATGAATGATGGTAAAAATGTAGTAGAGTCTATAGTGATATTAATAAGAAAGAAGGAAGGAAACAAACATTTATTAAGCACCCTACTATGTGCCAGGCACTGTGGTAAGCACTTTACAAATATCTCATTTGATTCTCACAGTTCTGGGAAGTAGGTGCTATTATTATCCCCTTTTATAGTTGAGGAAATTGAGAAAGAGATTATGTGACTTGTAAGCATCTGAGGTTGGATTTGAACTCAGGTCTTCCTGACTCCAGTCATTCTATAAACTGCACAACCTAGCTGCCTCTGTAAATTCTGATTTTTTCCCCCATGCCTTTGTTACTTTTCTCTCTTGTAGATAATCTGAGAATCCATCCCTTGAGATCCTCAAAATTGTGTTGGTTTGAGCATGGGTCTCCTCTATACATCTGATAATTATCTGATAGATAATTATATCTATCTCATCCTCTAAATATTGTTAGTCTAGCATATGTAGTTTTCAGGTTTAAATTAACTTGTAATCACTATTTCATTGATGGGGGAAGCAGAACCCCAAGCTTTATATCCCAAGGTTGATTTTTTTCTCCCACCAGATACCATTTCCCATTTATCCAGTTCTATAGTCAAACAGAAATCAGAGAAACTCCTCAAAGGGGAGAGAGAGAGAGAGAGAGAGAGAGAAGAGAGAGAGAGAGAAACCTCCACATTAGTTTATTACAGCCTTTCCTGAATCTGACTTTGTCAGAGGAGAGAGAGAGAGCATGGAATGGAGTTTCTAGTGAGTGAGCATGTATCCCTCTGGCTGCAGAAAAGGGAATTCAGGGGTGATGAAGACAAAATTCACCTATTTCGCAATTTTAGCCAAGATTGGCTCTGCGCAAAGTTATAAACTACAAGAGTTGAAAGGGACCTGAGAGATCATCTGTCTGGTTGAGAGGTACAGTAGAAGGAGCACTGGATTTGGAGTAAGAAGTCCTAGATTAAAATTCTACTTCTAACACTTTTGAGCTATCTGATCTCGGGCAAAGTACATTCATCTTTCTAGGCTTCAGTTTCCTCATCTGTAAAATGATAGCAATAGGTTAGGGAAGATTACTTTTAACTTTGAATCTATCATTCTCATTCATCCCTCTCATTTTACACAATTCCCAGAAAGACATGGCCAAATTCAAATAGCCAAATAATAGCTGAGCAGCGCCTACAGTCCAGGTTTCATGATTCCTAGGACACTATGGTGGTTCAGTATAACCACAATGTGAAATTGTGCTTCCCTGTCTCCATTTCAGCTTTCTTAATCTTTCTCACATTGTTTTTCTCCTACTCCTCCTTTCATCTTTTTTTTTTAAGCAAAACAACTGGGCCATTTGATTAAAAAAAAAAAAGGAATATGAGATCCTTCAAGATTCCATCCTTGTTAAAGAAATACAGGCTAAGCCTATACAAGTTGGTATAATTTTCATTTCTATGGGTCCAATTGCTCTCCTGCATCTTTGTATTTCTTCAGTGAACTGTACTCTCTCCCTTATCTCTGCACATCTCTCTCTTTAAAGTCGGAGCCTACCTCCACATGTGCTGAGAGGCAGATTTCGATTGGAAGAATGAGCCCATTGATTCTGAGGGCCTGGATAGTAAGCATTTCACTACTTATTGTTGTCTGGGCAGTTAGGAATAATTCAATAAGGTTTGATTGAATTTACATAAAGACAGCAGCAGGCTTCCTGAAATCACAAGTGAGGAGTGGGTGGGAGGGAGGTGAAGGGAACAAGTGCTGTGTGTGCATTGATGGTGTGAGCCAAAAGAGAGAAAAACAAACCAAGTTTCTTCCTATAAAAATTCAAAGTCTGCTAAGAAAAGGAACAAAAAAGGATTAAAACAAGAAACATTCTGACCTCCATGGTAGGCAGGAGTGAAAGATAACACACACAATATTAAAATATTCCATTTTGAGGGAGAGGGAGCATGAGAGAGAAATATCAAGGCTTTACTTAATCATATTATTTATTAGGTACTTTATGGTTACAAAATACTTTTCCCACAACAGTCCTATGAAGTGGATAGTGTGAGTATCATTACCCCTCAGGAAACTGAGGCTCTGAGAGTTTAGATACCTTATTCATTGTCACACAGCTACTGACTAGGGGAACTGGATGGGAATGAACCTAGGCTCTCTGGTTCTTTTCACCGTACCAGGCTGTATCTCTAAACTGGACTGAAAGCAAAAGCGGTCACTGTTTTCCCCACATTATTTACTTTTTCAAATAGTATGTGTCTTATTACTTTGGTGAGTTAGAACATAGTATTAATTAAACCAAAGTCAAGGATTTAATCCCCATAGAGCATGTATGCATATGTATGCGTATATATACATATCTGTATGTATATATATGCACTGTATGGGGATTGCAAAAAAAAGTGTGTGTATACACACACACACACACACACACATACATTTCTTTTTTTTTTGCATGATTGAGACCACACTATATCCCTAATATTGCATTGCCATTTAGCGAATGTAAAGTGTGTGTCATAAGAGAGACAGAGTAAAAGAGCTCGAATAGGTCAGTACAAACTAATTTTAGACTTCTGATTTC